AACACCCTTGATAGCCCTAGCGAAGCATCAAGAATTCAGCTATTTGACAAGATTTGATTATGAACTACACCAATCAAAGTGTTAGCTATGACAGATAAGGAATACTGGAAAGGTGTAGTGAGTTCAATCTCGGCTGAGGCCGAAAGATGATGATTGTAGCGGTTCGCGGTTCGAAACGATAAATCGGCGAGCCGGGTTCGATCTCTAGTCGAGTTCGTTGCATTTACATTTGTACACGTACTCTTGGTAAAGATGTGAATCCACTTCTTTTCCTCTGTCCTCTCACGATGCGTTAAATAGTAGAGTATACTGGACTCTCTAGCTTTGACTGGCAAGCCCTTTAGGAGAAGGATAATTCTTGATCCAAAACCGAGTCACCTGAATCTATTGGAATGTCTTAAGACATGGCAGATCCTAGGTTTGTAAAACAGAAGAACGAAAGATTTTAACAATTATGGATTATCCCACTGGATAGAAATTATCCAGAATATTGGTGCCAAAAACAGGCATTGGACCCAGGGAAGGGTGAATAGATTGTCAATTATAATTAAATTTTGATTTAAATTGCTTCATCGTAATTTTTATCGCTTTTTATCGCAAATTCGTTAGGAAATAAAGAAAATAAGCGGCTAACTTGAACCTCTACCCAATTTTCGGTGACAGCTGTCGAACTGATTAGGCTACAGACTTTATTCTTCACTTTCCCTTTACGCCGCCATTTTTGTTTACATGTATAATTAGTATCATTTTGATGAAGTATTATTAATCATAACACGCGCGCGTACACACACACACACAAACACACACGCACAAACACACACACACAAACACAAACTTATATATATATAAGTTAAAGATCAAATACAGATAAATATGGATTGGAATCCGACATAAGGAAAAGAACAAATAAGAAATGTATATCAATCTAACATGTTTCACTTTTATTAAAGCTTCATCAGATATTGAGAGAAAGCAGACAAAAAGACAAACCACTGGTTTACATGTGAAAATCTCTTTAATAACATTCAAGCGACCACAACAACATCATATTTTCACATAAATACCAGTGTTTTCTGTCTTTTTGTTTGTTTTCACTCAATCTCTGATGAAGCTTTAATAAAAATGAAACATGGTAGACTGATATACATTCCTGTTTATTCACACACACACATATATATATATATATACATATATATATATACATATATATATATATATATGTGTGTGTGTGTGTGTGTGTGTGTGTGTATACATACATATTAATCATTTTACCCCAAGCAAAGCAATGAAGTCATGAGGACACAAGGATTTGCTAAGTGTTATAGAATATGAAAACACTTCTATTAAGGAGAGAGGGCAATAAAAGAACAAGAATTAAGAAAACAAAAAATAACGATTGACATTGCATTTAAATTTTTGAAGATCAAAGTTGACTGGGAAGCAAGAATTCGGAAAAGTCCCACACAGGCGCGGAGCACGATAGAATAAACCGGATGTAGGCGCACATAACTCTCCACAGATTCTGTCATTGGCTGTGAATTGCCATGACTTTTTTTGGGAATGGAATAGTTTCCCGTTGCATTATCCACAGTTCGGAACAGTTCTTCGCCTAAACGAGACACAAAGCCGGCGTGGGGGTTGGAAAAGATATAGATTCATTTCTTTCCAAAACATATCAGTTAGAAAATGAGTGCAAAAGACGAGGGGGGAATTTGAACTCGGCCAGCCGATTCCAGTTTGCTCACCCGTAACAATTGCACTGCCAGCAGTTCCATGGTTGTTACGTTTAGTTTATCAAATTCGTCCCGAAATAGTTGTCACAACCGTTAATAATAATAAAATAAGAATCAAATGAAATCGTTTCAGCCGGAACGTCTTGGATAAATAGTTATAATTATTTATACTATTTGCATGTGGACTATTGCCCTCCTTTTTGTTGCTGTTGTCACAACGTTACGTTTGTTGTACCTTCCGGCCTTGATCAAGCGTATATTGATCTGGGCAGCCTATAGGGAAATCCCAACTGAACTGTTTATTTAATCTATACAGAGTGTAGAGTGTAGACTGTTCTCGTACCACTGCCACGTCTAGAGATATCACGTCTAGTACTTATTTTAGTATTGCTCAGTTCTTGCTTATTCACCGTTTCCACTGAGTTCAAATACAAACTGCTGAATTCAAGGATTGCATTCAAAATTACTGATAATTAAATAGCTTTATATAATGCTTGGAACCATAATTTATCTAATTGATCTCTAAGCACTGCCTATTTAAAATTTTGAATTTAAGGGGTTTATTTTATTTTATATTTGGACATTTAAAATGGAGTCAGGGCTACAATGACTGGGTTACAGAATGCGTAGGCTGACCCTAAATGGCAAACTACTAGTCAGAACTCTGATAACTCGAGGTGAGTAGGAGTTGTTTGAATCTCATGGATGTGGAATTCAGACAGTAATAGATTCTAATGGATGTTTATTGATATAAGACCAAAAGAGCCCGAAGATAATGAAACGGATGCAAGAATTAAAAGAGTCAAGATGCCTCATATATCCAGATTTCTTAAGAAGGCAAAGCAGCACATAGTGATGCGATTTTGGCCAATCGGTCGAAAAGTGTTTCCTCGATCACCCCTATCTCATTCTCGCTTCCTCCTAGAAACGATGACCTAAGTGGAACTCGTACATACGATATATTGCTAAAGATGCAGGCTCCAGTAAGTACGTAACTCCTCATCCAATCCTTTACGTTTACAAGAGCCAAATCAGACCAAATGAGACGAATTATTCTCCACCCTTCTCTGACAGGCGGGATATGGCAGGCCTCTCGCTGATCTATCTATTGCTTGGAAAAACTACATTTCTTGGATCCGCTAGTTCAAAGCTTTACGGCCAGGACACACAATGCTACTTACATAATAGCAAACCACCGACATTCCCTCTGTATTTCATCGGTAAGAAAAGCTTCTTCCTGCGAAGCACTGCTCTGTGGAACGGACTTCCAAGGGGTTGTTTCCCCGATCATACCCTGTTCAAGTCTATGGTTAACCATTATTCTCCCCTCCTATCCGAACAAATTGTCTCTCAACGTAACCCTTTCCTTTGAGTGACCTCCCCTCGTGTCTTGTACGAGGTGAACCTTACTGTAAAAAAAAACTACTGTCCCTCATAAAATAAAGCGAGCAAAAAAGGAAATTATCCGTCGTTGTGATTTGAAGAACTGAAACCAGAGATGACTCGATACGCAGTCGGATTTGTTAAATTCACTTATGTGAAAGCTATGAATCCACCTCTTTTCTCCACCTATGGGTTAAATAGTTGAACTTGTATCAGAAAATCTTCATTATCTTCCCAATAAAATATTACAATCCAAAAATATGAACATTCTTTAAATAACCTTGTTGTGGCCTTGTTAGGGGCCAGAAATAAAGACACAAAGAGAGGAATTGAGTTTAACAAATATATTAACTGAAACAGTAATGCAGCATATACAAACGATAGTGTTACAGCAAGAAAGTTGGAACCGATTGTCAGAGCTGACTGCTGGAACCCCCCCCCTCTAAAAGGCAGTACCTGCTCCTATTTATAGCTAGGAGAGTCCATGCGCGCGTGGGTAAATTACCATAACAAAGCTGTAAGCCTCAAATAAATAAATAAATTCATCTATCGCAAATGAAGAAAACGCTTGAGACAACAAAGATGTGGATCTACAGAAATTATGGATAATAAGAATTAAATATTACAATCCCAAAATATGAACCTTCTTTAAATAAATTTATCTATCGCAAATGAAGAAAACACTTGAGACAACAGCGATGTAGATCTACAGAAATATTTTGTCTCAGAATTTCACTCTAAAAAGTGATTTTATGAATTCTTTGTCTCCTAATTATATCGAACCTTGGATTTCAAAATACCAGAAACTGAAAGCATACGGTAAGAATAAAACTCATAAAGTTGTTCGATAACCTTACAAAGTTCCTAATAAATAATGCATATATTACAAATTTTACTCCTAATTTGTCGAAAAAACTTCGGATATTTTCTGTGCGCAAAAATATCCTCGGGGTTTTAATGTAAATTACTAGTTCTATATAATTCTCCTGCTGAGAATGTTGAAATATTCATTACAGTTTCGACGACTTTCATGTTTTCATCACTGTTCTCTTAATCAACCCTGCAGTGAGATTTTCCGTGGCGTCAGTATTAGAGAAAAGATATCGGCTGAACGTAATTCATTTCTGCAAAATTTGCCTCGAGGATAATAAGGTTCTTGTTTTATTATGAACCTCCCAATGCAACATACGACTGCATAATATAACATAGTGGATTCCAAAAATATACAAAAAAAAAACGATGAGAAATGAAACTTCTCCCTTCCTTCCTTTCTTCCGTACCATTCGTCATGCACTTTGAGCGATCATGCCTCTTTTCGATTCATTATAGACTTAGCAGAAGAATTCCAGTGATAGGCTGCCGTCACTTTTTGCGCTAGACTGGTTGCCAACCAAGTCTACTGGACTCGGATTTTCTTATTTTTCTTTTCTCATTATATGTCTAAGAAATTGCAACAGTCTCTTTCTGATTCTAAGAATAAATGCTTTTCTTCCATGAAACTTTATCGTTACTCAGGTGATCCGCCCTTGATATGCTCAGCAACCTTCTGTAGTTCCACATCACTCTTGTCTTCTCTTTATCTGTGATTGATTGATGAAGTGATTGATATTTTTTTACGGCTAATCAACTTCTTATAGGTTATTTCAAACCAAATTTTTGGATTGCGATTATTGTCGTTGTGAGGGAGATGTTAGTGATTTTCTGATACAACGCCTGCCTTTTTAACCTATAGTGGGGAGAAAAGAGGCACATTTATACCTTTCTCAGGGGTATTTGCGCTTAAGTGAAGGTAACGAACCCGACGGGAATTTCAACTCGGATTTCTCATTCCGGGCTGTTACCCATCTCATCACTTACACATCCAAGTTTAAAACACCTTATATTCGCCCACCCATCTAGGTACTGACTAGGCTCGACGTTGCTTAACTTCGGTGATCGAACGAGAAACGTTGTTCCAACGTGATATGGCCGTAAGCCACTAAAATATCATAAATGATCAGGATATCAGGTTAATAAAAGCAAGCCATCCTACGCAGCGTAAAGACATGATAAATAATACGTTTAGGATCTTCGTCACCGGTGATTCCTAATTGTGCTCTTACGAGTTAAGGACAAGAGGTGCTGACTTCTGAAAATATCCAAATACACATCTTTTGTGATGTTAACAAATACTCGTTTTAAATTTTGTAATGCTCGTTGTAGTAGAGACTTTGTAATCGCAGATACAACTATAGTAACGCCGTTGAACAATGCTGGTGTCAGACGCCCTCGAATATCACTCGCACTAATAGTACTTGCTTGATAATACTCGCTCGTATAGTAATCCGTATAATGACCAATATAGACTAATAGTATAGAAAATAACGAACCGTATAGTAATTGAGAATAAAATAGAAGTAGCGATCCGAATAGAAATAGAGGATAGAATAGAAATAACGATCGTCAATCGTAAGCAACTTCCTACATATATGCGTTTCCTCTATAGTCACGTGGTCTACTTAATTCAATAATGGGATCGCCTGTGTTTGCTCACTGGTGGTCTATGTTCAAGCTCAAGTGTCGGCAGCTACACTTTATTCCTATATAACATCTATATTAATAAATTAATGTTTTTTATTAAGTTTTTCCAGAAACTTTATGCATTTCCGGTTTGTATGAGCAAGGGAATACAAAAATACAAATATAGGTTCATCCCCACGACGATTGTGGCAGTCAAGGGTCTGATGCTGCTGAGACTAAAACCAAATTATTAAGTAATATTATTACGTGAAAGAAAACTTCAGTGTTGAATTTAAGGAGAAAAAGAATTCATTATCCTGAATAAACAACAGCATTTATAAAATGATACATAATTTAAACAAGCATTATTCAGATATAAAAGTTACTTACTTCTTAATTTTCTATGTTTGGATTTTTTAGTGAAACGAAGCCATTCCACGGAGTTAAGATTTGTTCATACGGTTTCTGTGACGCCAGTTTTCGATCAAATGTCATTCAATGTTATGACTTCAGTAGAATCAAATCTCTGTTGCTCCACGTCTCCTTTTCATCTGTGAGGAAAATGTCCAGGATTCGCTGTTATATTGGAAGCTTAATAAAACAACAGCTCAGAACTCTTTTCTTTGTTTCTAACGAAATCCTTTAAAAAACAAAAAATCTAATACACGTCTTCAAATCGGACTTGCTCGTCGTATTCTCATTAAATCTTGATTCTCAACCCTTAAATGTCGTTTGTTAAATTGTGCTATAAGTATCGAAACGGATTCGATCTGAAAGTAAAGCACTAATAAATTTTGAATTAACTTTCTTCTCATTAGCAAACCAAGTTACACACAGTTTATTTTAAATGTAACCCCCAAAGTGACAAGAAAATTTGGTAACGCTGACCTTTCTTGCAACCCTCAATTTGTATGGTAGAACAATCTCTTTATTTGTCTCTGTTTTATCAGCGTTTCATTATCATGCGATATTATCTTGAATTATTACTGTATATGTGCCGTGTGCCTTCAGGTCATGGCTCTCCTCAACTACATGTTCTTTTGTAGCTCTTAGTAAAATTTGACTTTTTGCTATCTCTTTTCTGTCAACCATTAACACAAGCTCGTTAACTAGGTTACGCCATGTTTTCCTCATTCCTTTTGCCTTCACGTACGACCTGTGAGTGTCAAATTCCCCAAGCCCTCTTTCCTCATTATGCGCCATAGAAATTTCAACTTTCTTTCTGATGCTAAATATATGAGTCCTTTTTCTTTCCATTTTCTTTAAAACTCCGTTGTTGCCCACATGTTCAGTCCATGATATTCTCAGCATCCTTCTGTAGAACCTCAAGTCTTTTCGTTACCTGTGATGAGACTGCAGAGCTTTCATTGCCATATAGGACGATTGATATTACATAGCAGTTAACTCCACTTCTTTGTTTCTAACGATATTTTCTGTTTCTTAATACTTTAGTTTTTGTATGACGGTGGCAGCGTACATGGTGGATTAAATGAAAAATGCAAAATCAATGAATGGTTGCATAGTGCAAAATTAACATAAGAAAAAAAATGACAACTCGGTCGGTTTGTCCTACGCCACTCGCCATATTCTGGATCCTCTTATATGCCTCAACCAGGAGTTAAACACTCCTGGTTGAGGCATGTAAGAGGACCCAGACGCTCAAGAATAAATGCACGGTGCAAGGTCAAAAGTCCCGTGGGCCGACAGAAATTATTTCTCGCCACTATTAAGCGTCGGAAGATGTCATGGTTTTGGCCACGTCTCACGGCATAACATCCTATGCAAGACCATCATGCAAGGCACCGTTGATGTGATTTTATCGATGACCTGATTACTAAGATTTTCGGTTACTGCAAAATGCTATGATCGAGAAAACTCTCTGCAATGAAAACCATATTCAAGAGTTCACAGAATATCATTCAAAAGTATCGAAGATCTATCTGAAGAGCTGGTAACACTGTAAATAATGGCGAATATACAACTGAATAAAATATACTTCATTTTCTGAAGAATAAAAATGATTAGCAAAAATGAAACTTATTTATCATTAGTGTACCCGTGCCGTCAAAAATGGCGGTATTGTTAGAAAGTTTTACTAGTGAGATGCAATGAAATAAAAGTCTTCAAACAATGTACTGATATTCAATAAAATGGAGATAAAGAAGTCACAACTAAAATAGAGGTTAATGAGCAGTTTAATTAATTCATTTCGTCTATATACTCTCTGGACGTTCAATGGTAACTAGGATCCATTGTTTATTCCAGGTGTTATATAAATCGTTCAGTATCTTTTCATCTTAAAAATTTTGTGTTTGATGTAACAGTGAAATAGAAATATCTCTCGTGAGAAAAAGATTTGCAACAGAACGACAAGGATGACAAAGTTTATTTTGAGACCAAGTTGAAACAAGACGACCACTTAATAGACAAAAGTAGTAGAGTGCCTCACATGAAAGGCTTGGACAAATAAGACTGCAAACTAGCAAACGTGGGATTAAAGAAACTGATTAAGTAAACGGTTCCTTTTGCTTGATGACTAATTTTATCTAAATTCAGATAAACATTTTATTTGTATAGATGTTTAAAATGACTAATGGATGTAACCTGTCATAAATTTACTAATTAGTTGATTTACCTCCCTTCCCACTACAGATGGGACAGGAAATATATAAATAAATATGCATCGATAATAAATTACGACTAAAGGATTTAATCTGTCATAAATTTACTATTCCTGTATTTACATTCCAGTCTGTTTATGGCTTGATCACCACCAAATAGAGTTTAACTTAATCTTTACTGATAAATTCAGCATCAATATTCTGTGTAGGATATTCAGCAAACTGCTTTGGAGTTGTGCGATGTTTATTTATTTATTTGTTTGGATTCGTGGTTAATGTTTCTTACTCGTTTCTGCAAATGGATCATTTCACATCGATCAGGAGAGTAAGTGGCGATTCCTGTTTTCTCCCATATTTTTTCCATGGGACAGCTTTGTGAAATGAACAGATATCCTCTGGTGTTGAGAAATTCGAGTCAGATGGGCCTGATTGGATTACAGCACTCGGAGTCAACGGAGAAAGTCATGTGAGACTAATAGTTGCATCTTCTATTGTAGCAGATAACAGGGAAAATGAAATAAAATCGATAAAAGAAATAAAGTAATAATAATAAATAATACAAAAAGAAAAAAAAAGAAATACATTTACCCGTGATGCTAAGTGTAAAGAAACTAGAAATATGATTATTACACTACTTGGCTTCGTAAAACGTCTATAAAAAAGACAGTTCTCAGTCCCGTTCTTTTTCTCTGCCTTGTTCCAAGATGCAGTACAACATGGTAATTACGTTCACTCTGAGGATCGTTGCCTTTCCCAGTCCACTGACTGACGAAATTCCCTTCCTACTCTCCAATGTATGGTGCTCGCACGTGTCATTCCAAAAATTAGTCAAGCTTTCTCTTTAGTTGTTCCAACTAAGCGCAAGTCTAACTTGAGCGCGACCATTGTAACAATACTTATTCTTAAATACCTAACCTCTGAACCAAGAAAAAATAAAATGGGCATACCGAAGAGAGATTCAGAACTATTACTACAGTTTACACACACATACACAAACACACAAACACACACACACACACACACACAAATATATATATATATATATATATATATATATATATATATATATATATGGATATAGATCAGACAGTATGAAGAAAAATATACGCAAAAAACAAACAAAAATCCTTATATGCAATTATGCTGTTTTAATGTTAATATAAATGTCAACGTCGGACGTTTCGGTCTAATAAACCATCTTCAGGATATATTCATAAATATAATTAACATTATCAATTCAACATGACAAAGACGATAACTGATCTTATAAAACTGATCTTATAAAACTTTCAGTTATCAGTTTGGATTAGTCTTGTTCTTATGTCCATCGTCTTTGTCATGTTGAATTGATAATGTTAATTATATTTTATGAATATGTCCTGAAGATGATTTATTTGAACGAAACGTCCGAATTGACATTTATATTAAATTAAAACAGCATAATTTATATAAGGATTTTTGTTTGTTTTTCCGTATATTTTTCTTTCATATATATATATATATATATATATATATATATATATATATTTGTGTGTGTGTGTGTGTGTGTGTGTGTGTGTGAAAAGTGTATATAAATATAAATAAATATAAATATGTATAATTATTTATATATTATATATGGTACTTATTAGAAAGCGCTCAATATCAGAGATAGAGCTAACATATTTGGTTGGATAGATGTGAGTTTATATATATATATATATATATATATATATATATATATATATATATGATATAGTATACTATATTTATGGATTAAAGTGTTCAATACCACGGACAGAGCGTATATAAATATAAAAGGGGACATTGAAGTCAAACCAGGTGATTGCGTATAAGCATGAAGCAGACTGCTGC